TGACACCCAGATTCGGAACAACAATCTGTGGATGACACGAAGAGTTGTTCTGTGTGGGAATCGAACCCGTGACACTTTGCAGTCAAGGCCACAGTCAAGTCAAGTGGCCACTGCCGACTAGACGCCATGCGCCATCTTCTCACACGGAGAAGGTGTGACCATTAATCATCACGCTTAATCAATGCGGGTTGCCGATTTCAAACTTATAATTTCAAATTATAAGCATACATACCTATGATCAATAATCTCTGTTACATACTCGGCTAAGAACTTGTCTCTGTTCGCCAAAACGTGATGGTCCACCAATACGACCTTCGATTTTGTACTCTTTAGCAGTTCAGGGAGATCATAATCATCTCTGTAATAATAATAATAATAAATCTTATACTTATTATAAGATTATATGACTGCCTCGTTGGCCGAGTGGTCGCAAGTGCGATTGCCGGGCAAGGGGTCTCGTGTTCGATTCTCTAGTCGGGCAAAGTATTACATACTGGGTTTTTAAATATTCTCAGTAGTAGCACGGAGTATGGAATTGTGCCCGGTATATGGCAACAGGCTCACTCCCTATTACATGGGACTCATAACATAAATAGTGAAAAGTGGGTGTTACATTGTACAGAGGTATAATGTGCACCTCTGCCTACCCCTTCGGGGATAAAAGGCGTAATGTTATGCTTATACTTATTATACAGTGTGTACCTGAAGTCGACGATCAAATGGCACCAGATGATCAGCAAGGTTCCAACAGTTATCAGAATAATATAAAAAAAATCTTAAGTCATAGAGTTTTTGTATTACAATGTTTTTTGACTCTTGCTGCTGCAATTGTTTAGATTTTTATCACTATTTTTGTTTGAGTTATCCTGAATAGTGCTCCAATATTATGGTATCAGAAATTCTCGACCAACTGCTCTAGTTTGGTAAAGATGGTCGGTTTTTGACGAACCAAATGTTCTCTATAAATTTTTCACCTACTTCAAGTGACTGTATTGAAAAAAAAAATGTTTGTGTTAGTCTCTCTCTACTAGCACGTATTTTTTTATTTTCTCGTATTAAGTTACAATATTTAGATAAAATGGTGCTATGTTTAGGAGTGGGAGGTCGTTACGTCATAACGTGCTACAAAATGTGACACGCTGTGACGTCACACGATATTTCAAATGGGGTAGACGACTAATTTTTATTTTAATGTCCGTCTGGTAGATTATTTAAAAATATTAGACACGTATTTTTTATTTTCTCACGGAAACGAATAGTTTTGAAGATATATTGATTTGAAATGTCGCGTGACGTCACTTCTCAGTACATTTTATACTAAGAAATGACGTTTTACCCCCCACTCCTAAACTTTAACTCGTTTTATCTAAGTATTGTTTTATTATACGACAAAATAAAAAAATACGTGTCTAATATTTTTTATTAACTTACGGACTAATTATATTTTTAATTTTTATACCCTGTCAACATCCCCATTAATATATCGTCGAAAGTATTTCATTATGTGAAAAAAGAAAAACTACGTGTCTTAAGTTTTAAAATGTACCAAACGGACATTAAAATAAAATTTAAGATACTACCCTATTGATTCTATTGTAACCAAAGTGTACCTAAAAACTTCGTATCCACTAGGTAGGTAAAATTTACAATTTTTTTTTATATTTTTCTGATAGCTGTTGAAACCTTGTCAATCTGGAGCCATTTGAAAGTCGACTTCTGGGACACCCCGTTTAAAGCTGAAGAGTGGGTGCCCGAGTATCGAACCAGATTCTCATAGCTTAGCAATAGGGAATGCAAACGCTCATCGACCCAGATAGTCTAAGAAATATTAAAAAAAGTACAAAAAAAATTACCTGAACACCAAATCACCCGCATTAATCCCTTTCTCGCGAAATAAGAAAGCCACTTCAGTTTTCAAAGGAAAATCATTTCTATCGACATTTATAACTGGTAGAAACAATTCATCCTTGTAGTCCATAGAGCCATCTCTATACTCTTTGGTGCAAACCTTACATTTCATTTGATTGTGTTGCCAGTATAGAAAATTGGCGAAAACTAGGGCGCTGACTGCAGAGTCTAAATCGCAGCTTTCATTGCCGATAACTATTGTTAATTCGCTGAATTGTTTCGTTTTCTGTAAATAAAAGATAATACATATAAAATCACCTTTTCATTCTTAAAGGGGTAGGCAATGGGGGACAACAATATAACACCCACTTTTCACGAAACGTGTTACATTATGAGATTTTTAAATGTTTTTTATTTTTATTGAACTTTCGTGAGACATTCTAAATAAATTATTATGTTTTTGGCTTACTCACGCAACACCTTGACGAGGAACTCGACTAGTTTCAAGCCATGCTAGAGGATCATATTCATGCATGAGCAGCATTTCGAGACCTGCGACGCGGCGATAGTCGCAGCGTCTATTAAACTAGTCGAGTTCCTTGTCAAATTGTTGCGTGAGTAAGCCGAAAACATAATATATTTTTTTTGGTAGTTTTTTGAAGTTTTATAAAAACTTTTTTTAATAACTATTGTGAGACATACTAACTAAAACTAACTAAAAAGTAAACAGTAGATGGGCTGTGTGACGTCAAAGCATCCAAGCACACTGTTTATAAGGAGACCCCGACTCCACCCTGTTCATAAGTCCCCCCTGGGACTCGAAACTAGGAGAGCTTTTCTCAATATATTTATGTACGTGAACCATTATTTTTTAGTAACTAAGATTTAAGATTTTTTTATGCAATGCTTTGCCCCGTAGAGAAACCTGAGACCTCTTGATACCCAACAACACTTGAGACCACATCTCAAATAAAACTGGTTTTTATAATTATGGCAACAATAATCTATCAATACTGAAGGTTGAATAACTAGCGACCTTTGCCACATACATCTAAGATAAGAAAGAATAGAAAAAAAATAACTAGTTTATGTGATAAAAAATACAAGACCTATTGAAGCATTCTTTGAAAAGGAATTTTATTTGTAAAGCAATGAGGTTTATTATTCAATATCAAAAACTATTTTTTTTTTGGTTACAGCATATTGTAATAATTTTTCCAGAATTATTAAAAAAAATCAAATTCTTTAATTGCTGAATATGGGTAGGTTACATGAAAGAAGAAGTAATATTCAGGCTCACACCATGCAAATTTAAATGAAAAATGTCTAGGTATACAAATTTCAGCTGCATCGGCTGATGATATATCTTCAAAGTTTAGTAGCAAAATTACACTTCAGCTAGTAAACAACAATTTTAGAATAATAAAGTTAGAATTGATATGTTACAGACACCTTTTTCTTTACTTCATTACTTCTAATATTATAAATAAACAAGTTCTATGTTTGAACTACTAAATAGATATGAATGAAACTCGATGCAGAAAAATAGTTTTAAAAAATACAAAGGTCAATTTTTAACCGGTTCCACGGCCATAGCTGCTGGCAGAAACTAAAAGTAGTTACTTACATAGTACTAGTTTTAGTTATTATATATTGTTGAAACCAGGCAAAGGTATTCACTCATTATGCCAATAACCAAATTACTTACTAAAATTACTCACTAAAATCGCTAAATAATGAAATGATTTCACAAATATTATACCTAAACAGTGTAGGGCTTCGATATTACAGTAATTCCAAATCAAAATCTCTTTCCGAAGAACTTTCGTGGATTAATATTGGACAGTCTTTATATAAAAAAGCTATGCTCACAAATACAAAAAGCATTACCAATTTTGTCAGAGTTGTACCGATATATTCTTCCATTTTTATGTATTATTGAGTAGCTGGAAGGTTATACGTGTTTCTATAATAGTGTGGGAGTGATTTAACCCATTTTATTTGGATTTTCAATGTTTTGTTATGGTAAACCTGTCAAATTGAATTTGACGTTTGTCTTGTCAGTGTTGTCGATCTAATGTTTTAATATTCCTACTTGGATATGACGTCCTTGATTACTACCAAAACTTAAAAAGTTTTTATTCGATTGTTTATGATTTATTTATTTATTTTAACACTTTATGTACAAAATGCAGTGCCAAAATGTGTATACAATGGCGGGCTTTATACGGGATGGCATTCTCTACCAGCCAACCACAGGGTGATGCAGAGAAGTGTGTAACGTAACGTAGGTTATAAACGAAGTTTGTATCATCACATTGTAATAATTATAAAATAAACAAATAGCTGCACTTTTGCGTACGGTAGATGACCTTATAACACAACATTACGCCTTTTATCCCCGAAGGAGTAAACAGAGGTGCACATCATGCCACTGTACAATGTAACACCCACTTTTTCACTATTTATGTCATGAGTCCCATGTAATAGGGAGTGAGCCTATTGCCATATACCGGGCACATTTCCAGATACCGTGCTACTACTGAGATTTTTTGGAAAACCCTAGTATTATTTTGCCCGTCCCGGGAATCGAACCCGAAACCCCTTGCCCGCCAGTCGCACTTGCGACCACTCGACCAACGAGGCAGTCGTACTATAGAATTTATTGAATGTTTCATTTATAGCTGTCATGATATAAGTATGGTTTGATATATATGAAAATAAAAAATACAAATCTAACAATTTTTCACTATTTAATCAACGAACTAAATAGACTATAAGAGAGGAGGAGAAAACCGACGTGAAGCAACGGTTGTGTTGTGTTTCGTCGTGTGAGTGAGGTTACCGGAGGCCAAATTACCCAAGCCCCCTCCCAGATCTCCTCAATCCCCGAATCTCCAACAACCCTCAAATTCTTAATTTTCAAAAGGCTGGTTGTAACTCCTGGTGTTCCAGGCGTCCACAGGCAGCGCTGATTGTTTACCATCTGGTCTCGCCTAGGTCGTTAGCCAGCATATTAAAAAAAAAACTATGACAAACGTTTAGTCAACCATCTAAAGACTTATGTAACTTCATTAAATGAGTAATGTTTAGTAATTTCTATTTTCTGATTTCATTTCATCCACCATTGACTTTAATTATTACAACGAATCGTAAAATATCAATAAAAATTTAACTGCGCTTACCAATCCTTCAGTTTAATTTTACTTAAAATAATTTTATTATAATGAAAGCGTACGTCTTCTTCATTTTTATGGGTAAGATGGATTATTTTGCTATAAAGCGGAAGAGTTTTTTTTTGTTTGTTTGTTTGAACGCGCTAATCTCCGTAACTACAAGTCTGATTTGAATAATTCTTTTTGCGTTGGATTACGTATTTATCGAGGATGGCTATAGGTTATAAAACATCCCGCTACGACCAATAGGAGCTGAGCAGAGCGTGTGAAACCGCGCGGAAGTAGCTACTTTAATATAATATCACACCGAAAGTTCCCGAAATTTGTTCATACAAAAGTAGGTAGTCTCTAAACATCGGATATAAGGTCTATAATGAAGTAAGTGGAGAGCTGTCACCGGTGGTATCTTTTATATTATCATTATCTACTTATGTGTAGCCTTTCACCGGTTTAAACTGTCAAACACCAAGCGGTCACCGGTGACCGCAACCTATTGTTCTATAATTGTGTCTACAAAACCGGTACTCGACGAGTTAAAAAGTTGATGACTTAATTTCTATGCGAAAATATTTTTGTTTTATGGTATAACATAGTACCTCGAATCCTTACTAATATTATAAATCGGAAATTGAGTTTGTTTGTTTGTTTGATCCGTTTTCATGCCGTAACTACTAAACCGATTGCTTTGAATTTTTGCAGACGTAAAGTTAGAAGTCTGGATTAAACAATAGGGTACTTTTTATCCCGGAAAATTGATATTCCCGAGGGAAAACAAAAGTATAGATGGCTTCGTGTGTATTGATATATGTCACATAGGTTACTTTTATCCATTTGTGACGCGAGCGAAGCCGCGGGTAAAAGCTATTTTAAAATAATTAAATTGTGGACTTTCTATCTCAAGTGGTCGTAAGTGTAACGCGACTAGAATAAGGTGTCGATGTTCTGTTCCCGGCGTCAAAAACACTCGTAAATTAATTATTATATTTTCGGCTTGCTCACATATTTTTGATGTTTATCACGTATGTTTGGCGAGGAATTCGACTAGTTTCAAGCCATGCTAGAGGCTCGTATTCATTTATTTAACTAATACAAACACACGTAAAGTCCTGAATTCTTAAAATGTCTGAAATTGTGTAATAAACTGACCACCGATTGTATGAGGCTCATGAATAATGGCATAATTAGTAATGGCAAAAAATACTTCCATGACTCTATGGGCATCTCAACCCACCCTGACCTCATCTAGGATTCAATTTACTTTTATGGCATAAGCCAGTAAACTAGCAGACGGATCACCTGATGGTAAGCAATCGGCGTCCCCCATTGGACAGCTGGAACATCAGAGTCGTTACAAGTGCGTTACCGGGATTTTGGGGATTAGGAGTTTGAGGACCGTTGGGGATTCAGGGATTGGGGAGATTGGGGAAGGGGAGGGTAATTTGGCCCCTGGTAACCTCACTCAGATGACGAAATACAACGCAAGCGTTGCTTCACGTCGGTTTTCTGTGAGGCCGTGGTATCACTCCGGTCGAATCGGCCCATTCGTGCCAAAGCATGGCTTTCCCACAATTAAAATATATTTAATTCACTGTTATTGTTCACAGTTATACACACGATTGCAGCAGAAAAAGCTCTCTCGAAGCTCCGTCGAAAGTTGATCGTACCGAAAATCGATGACAAGTGCAGGAAAATAAAGTGCGCGAGTGTGGACGAGCCGGAATGTGTCAGAATGAAACGAAACGATCTCGGTTTCGACGTTCATATTATAGTTGTGAATAAATGCGAACTTTATTATATGCAATGCCATGACAGTAAGAACATTTTTATTTATAAACGTACACTGGGATTTTCCTCTGTGTCGATGATGCACTCACACTACAATAGGGTAGATACCTAATTTTCATTTTAACTCGTCGAGTACCGGTTTTGCAGACACAATTTTAGAACAATAGGTTGCGGTCACCGGTGACCGCTTGGTGTTTGACAGTTTAATGTCCATCTTGTAGATTATTTTAAATCACTAGACACGTATTTTTTATTTTCTTACAGAAACGAATACTTTGGACGATATATTATTTTGAAATGTCGCGTGACGTCACTTCTATGTACATTTATACGTAGAAATGACGTTTTAGTCCCCACTCCTTAACTTTGATTCGTTTTATCTAAGTATTGTTTTATTATACGGCAAAATAAAAAAATACGTGTTGAATATTTTTTCATTACCTAACTTAGGACTAATTAGATTTTTAATTTTCATGCCCTGTCATCATCCCAATTCAGGGTTCGCGCGTTTAAAAACGCATCTCCGACACAGAAGAAGAATAAGAAACTACCATTCCTAAGTTTGAATGTACCAGAAAAAAAAAATCGATGATAGACAATATTTTCTTTCCAGACGTGGAAGCTAAAATCGTCCCTATGAAGTTTTGTAGCCACAGACACGGGCAAACAAGCAAGAAAATTTTGAAAGGTACGAACGCCTACAAGGTACCATTGTAGAACCATTTTTAATTGTTCCTAACTAACTTATTAACTCGTCGATTACCGGTTTTGTAGACACAATTATAGAACAATAGGTTGCGGTCACCGGTGACCGCTTGGTGTTTGACAGTTTAAGGACCGATTTTTAATCATCATTTAATTCTTAACTGTAGAATGAAATTGCCATTTGACAGTTTTTAGTATTTTTTTTTTATGGAATAGAAGGCAAACGAGCAGACGGATCACCTGATGGTAAGCGATCAGCGCCGCCCATGGCACAACATCAGAGGAGTCATAGGTGCGTTGCCGGCCATTTATGGAAGAATTATCAAATATTTAAAGTTATATCTCAGTTGAAATGATATGGCGTTGAAAAAATCAGCCCTAAGTGCAATGCTTCATCTCAATCACAGTGATACCACGGTCTCAAAGAAAAACAACGCTTGCATTGTGATTCGCCGTGCGAGTGAGGTTGTAAGAGACCCAATCTCGTAAGAGTATTTATGTTCTGTGGACCCAATCTTTGTCCTTGGGGCCCAACAGGGCTGATGCCGATTCGGCGTCGCGGAGAACCTAACGAGTTACCGGGGCTCCGGCTCGAGGTGCAGGAGAAGGAACGCGGTGGCTTTTAGTCAGTAATAGTAAGCGTGGGAGAGTCATGCTTCGGCACGAATGGGCCGGCTCGACCGGAGTGATACCATAGCCTCACAGAAAAACGACGTGAAGCAACGCTTGCGTTGTGTTTCGTCGTGTGACTGAGGTTACCGGAGGCCCAATTACCCTCCCCTTTCCCAATCTCCCCAATTCCTGAATCCCCAAGGATCCTCAAAATCCTCCTAATCCCCAAAAGGCCGGTAACGCACTTGTAACGCCTCTGGTGTTCCAGGTGTCCAAGGGCGACGCCGATTGCTTACCATCAGGTGATCCGTCTGCTCGTTTACTGGCTTATGCCGTGAAAAAAGTCGGGAGCAGTCATTCGTTGATTTTCCCACCTTAAAAAAAAATGTACCACTTTCCTCAACTCCGCAGTTACTACCCTGTATACCGTGATCGTAATAAATTAAACATTCATGTTTTATTACAGATAAATCACATTTACGCGTGAAAAGGAAAGCCAATGATGAAGGTAGTAAGCTTTCTTTTACTTGAGTGATAGGACAAAAACCTCTTGCTGCACTTGCGCCATCTGCTGCCCAAAATACGGTAGCGCCCATTGTGTAGGTTGTGGAGATTGGGACTGGCCACTTAGACGTACAATTTGGTAGTTTTCTGGGTCAAAACTAAATTATTTTGATTACTATTAAATATTGGAAAATAGTTACACTTTCATTCATTGAAATGCCGTTATACTTAATTTTCGATTTCTTCTAGCATTTCTTCTTGACATAAGTGTGCTATTTGACGCGAAAATATGATGACGTCGTAAGATATTTCGTTAAAATTCATAGAACAGTATCGTTTTTGACGTTTCGATAAAAGTATTGAATTTGACTAGTTGTCAATTACTACCGTATCCAAAGCAGTATGCTAGTTATGCTACTATACTATACATTTAAGAGTTAAGTATATGCAACTCTATTTACAACCGTATAGAATCAGTATGAATCTCAGGGATCTAATTAATGTTTTGATGTTACAGATGAAAAAGGTAAGAAAAGCATTTATTTTTACACAAGTCAAATTAAGGGCCATTTTCAACTTTATTTTTTTTACTTTGCAACATTTTTTATTCAACTGTCAAGATGCGAAATCTGCACTATTTTTTTTAATTTAGGCGGGAATCTTTGTTTGACATCTCGGGTATATTTGGTTTTTTCCACAGAAACTGATTTGAGCGGGAAATCACCGTTTGGGCATGGATATCACCCACATCCCGTAAAAGACCCATGGGTACCAGAATTATGGGATAAAGTGCCACAGGAACTTTTCATATACCTAGTCGTGAAATAAAAATTGATTTCCTTTTTAATATCATTATTTTTCTAATACTTATTTTCATTAGTTCATAACATAAGATTTAAATAATACGCTAATTCTATCTGTCAGACGCGAACATTCTAAATCTTCGCTGTTTATTAAAAAAATGAGATCATTTCCGCTTCGTACACTTTTGGGCCTTTTCTGATAGTCAACGAAAAAATGGTACACACGTATTGTTAGAACTAGCCATTTGGAGCAAAAGTTAATATGGCGTAAAAGGTGTAGGGTCCAAGATGAAGACGTTTAACCAATTCAAAGATTCATCATTTTCATATATCTATTGCTTCCTAAAGGTGATAAGATACGTAAAATAATGGTCGATATTGATAGAATAAAGTACCTAGCTGAAACTATAGGGTAGATGACTAATTTTTATTTTAATGTCCGTCTGGTAGATTACCTATTTAAAAACATTAGACACGTATTTTTTATTTTCTTACAGAAACGAATTGTTTCGAAGATTTATTGATTTGAAATGTCGCGTGACGTCACTTTTGAGTACTATTTATTTTATATTTATTCTGTTATATTATACCTATTATATTTTATACTATTAAATGACCTACTACCCCACTCCTAAACTTTGATTCGTTATATCTAAGTATTGTTTTCTTATACGACAAAATAAAAAAATACGTGTCTAATATTTTTTCATTACCTAACTGACGGACTAATTAGATTTTAAATTTTCATACACTGTCATCATCCCTATTGTGATTAATGATTATGATTTCAAAAGTTTTCGTTGGAGTTTACTTTTAATATCTTCAAAAGACTCCACTTTCAAAAAAGGCCAATTTCAGGAAATGATCTCCTTAGTTAAACTCCAAAGTAAACGACTGTTGTCTTCAAGGTAATTTCCTTTTTTTTTTCCTTGACTGAATACAGTTTTATTACAAAATGGGCAAAGACACCGTGATTCAACCTCAAAATGTGTTTGTAAAAATGTAAAATATTTATTATATTTATTTCACCAATATTTAGATACTTAGCGTAAAATTACGTAAAGATAGACTTTTATATATTTTATAACCCGATAAAACTAGCAGTCGTGGGTGATCAATTATGATTTAAAGAAAAATGTTGAAAGCCTTAATTAGTCGATGAAAAAATGGCGACAGCTTACAGCCGTCAGTAATCTCCGACGAGCTATACTGTGAATTCGACGCAGCGTACAGTCTAGAACCTGTTTTTTAGAGAATAGCATTGCTGGTCTTACATTGTTCTCACATAATTGAACCAAACGAATAATGTAACCAAGAATATTGTATTGTGAGCCTACGGCGTTTCTTGCTCGTTCTTCTACATAAGAATCTACACTTTGGAACGAGCAAATAGCTTCACTAGAGGGCTGACCGACAGACTATTATTCTTTTTTTAAAATTTCAATTTTTCTTTTTCGAAGAATTGAGTAAGTAGTTTCCTTAATCAAAAATAAATTATTTCGACTGTTTTTAATACACTATAATTTTAAAAAAAATTACACTTTCATTAATTGATTTTATAACCAACTTACTTTCCCGCAATTTTTTAAGAAATAAGTACGCTGTTGACGCTTAGAAATCGTGACGTCACGCACGATACACAATCTCTACGAAATTCATAGAAAACTGTCGTTTTTGACAGTTCGAAAAAAGTATTGAATTTGACTTGTTGTCAAATGCCGTAATGAAATAGGTATTATGATTTTGACTGGATTGCGGCCACCGGTGTCCTCGCGGTGTTTGAGGGCAGTGTCAGATTTAAATTACGCTAACGCCATATGTTAAGTGTAAAAAAATGAATTAATCACCTGTTTGTTTTGTATTATTTAGTATTTTAGTACAGTAGCTATAGGTAGATAATGTTTGTTAATTATTTTACTTTGATGTAAATCATGGTTAAAACAGTGTACGAGTATGTTACATGGCTATATTTACCAGTGGCGTGCACAGGTTTTCGAGACAGGGTAGGCAATTAAATATCGTATGATTAAACCCCTCCCCCCTGGTCATACAATGACAATCATACTCACACAAGATAGGTACCTACATGTACAGAATACATTTTGAAAAGTGCGTTCAAGAATATTGTGGTTTATTCTGTCGCCAAATTACATACACTGACATCTCGCGTATTTTTTGTGAACTACTTCATCAGCTATGGAATAAGCCAACAAAACTTACAAATAATTGAACATCTATTAATTATTATACTAATAATGAAGCATAAATTTGATGAACCAAATTCAATTATCGAATTGCTAGATAATCTATTCAAAATCATAATATATTACGAATTTAAGAACGTAGGTCCCTACCAACAAACAAAACAATAACAAGCGCGGCCGGCTGTGGCCGAGCCGAGTATTTATAAGCGGTACATTTGTTATTACATTACATAATTATTAATAATAAATTAATATGTAAATCAGTACAACCCGAAGTCTAAGTTGATATTTTTAAGAATTATCAAACAAGAAAATCAATAAAAGATCCATTAAAGTACATAATATTTACATTACCTACCTTTGACTTGGGTCAATTCTCGTAACTTGAGTACTGCCTATGGTCATTACCTGAATCTAGTCGTTGTAGGACACATTTTTGCGAAAACTTACTGTTTTTAACTTTCAACAAACACAAAAAATTATCTATTATCAACACAAACTTCACAATCGAATAATATAGGTACTTGTACTAGACACTGATAAACAAATACACTATTTGAAAAACCTACACATACATTTAACTACTTCTACACATATTTATGCAACTTTATGTTTAAAACTAATTCCTTATAATTTAAACGAAAACATAAACAAAGCGATCGCACATCACATGAAAACAATATGGCCGAAAACATTGGAATGAATGAACCCATCGTAGTCAATTGAGTGTTTATTATAAAAAAATTATAGCTATAACATTAAGGCAACCCAGTGTTTAATTATAAAAAAACAAAACGTTAATTTACATAAGTCAAATGGAGTTCCGTCATTGTCTTATTATTATTTTCCAATAAGAAACATTCGTTGATAACAATTTGAAACTTTGAGTTATCAAAACGTCAAGTTGCCGCTACTCAAAAGTTATTCCTTTTTACTTTTAAAATAATAAAGTCAACTCCTCGTTTAAAGTTTCTATAAACCGACAACGCGTAAAAATGTTAAGATTTAATTAAAATACCTGAAACATATTTTTTTAGTATGCATAATTATAAAAAGACATTCGCATTATATCGAACGTGTTCAGAAGTTTTAACAAAAAATTCAATAGATGGCGCAGATTCATAAATTTCAAAGGCCGGCAGCAATGACTTTTTTGCGTTTATGAATGGTTATTCTCTGCTGTGACCATAGTCACGTGACCTTCACGCATGCGCGTTGCATACTTTTTGTGACGTCACAACCAACAACCAAGATTTAAGGAATAGTAGCGCATGCGTGGTGCGTGCGGGGCGCATTCATTGCTTTACAAAGGCGTGCGGTCCGTGTATAGTATAATTATGTGAATGTATATTTATGTTAGCCGTTTTTTTTACAAACTTTTATTTTATTATTGAATCTTAATAAACGCGTTTGTACATTTTATGTCAAGCAAAGCCTTTTTGCCTATATGGACTGCACGCCACTGATATTTACTTAAATTAATAGATTTTTAAGATTTTGGGAGCATCATATAGGTTAAGGTTTTAAGTTTTCAATTAAGACGAAGTGAAAATTGTTTGTTTCAGCCAACCTAAAAGGCAAGTGTTATTTTTTTATTTAAATTAGGTACTTTTAGTCAACATCAATAGCTTAGGCTTTAGCATAAATTAATCCCCATTGCACTTTTTTTACTTTGCGTGTTTCACAGCCGGTAGCCTCGACATTGATAACGACATATTTCGGTCGTTAAATCATATTTTTTTTTAATAGAGATTTCACCTTAATAGCTTGGTTCACAACAACACCAACAATTTGTGTATACTTAAAGATGACATTAATAAATTGTATCATACGTTGTCAAGTCATGGGTTGTGGTATAATGTCATCATTATGCCCAATAGTCCGTCGCAAATAGTATAATAAGGGTCCGTCGCCCAATCGTTGCACCAACCGTGCGTGCAAGCAATGACATTTCGTACGAGACTAGTCATTTGTGCAAAATAGTTAATTGTTATGTTTATTATGATAATGTGTTCTGTTTCTACACTGTATATTGAAATTATTTGTAAAAATAAATAAATAAATAAAAACCAACTTTTACCACCAACAATTACAAGCTGAAATTATACATCGTTCATTGATCTTATTACAGCCATGGAAATGGTGAAAATGAAACACAAGAAAGCCCCAACTAAAACGGAAATAATGTCAAAAAAGTCGATGAGTGGGAAGAAAAAGAAACCTTTAAAAATTACTAAAAATACGAATACAAAAAAGAACTCACATTTAAATCTTCTGGGCGCCGCGTATTCATCAGCTGATATGGAACGTGATCAACAAAGGAAGGACATAAATGACGGTTTTAACTTTTTTTTACTTGTTATTAGTATCGTCGTCGTTTTTTTTTTTCTATTTTAGTATGTTCTGTTATTTGTATGTTGCGTCAGGTATGTCTTTACATTATTCTCACATGTGTGTACAATATTGGAATATGTATCAGAGCAATGTAAAACAGACTTTTTTTAAAAGAGTAACGAATGGAGTTTCTTGCTCGTTCTTCTCCACTCGAATCGACATTTTGGAACGAGCGCCTAGCTTCACTGACGGACAGACTGACAGACTATTATATATTTCATATTTGTTGACGTTTCAAAAGTACCAAATTATGGTTTAATTGAAATAAATGCTTTTGAGTTTGAGTAGGTTGCCAATTTCGGCTATGCATGATCAAAGTCGTGGTGGCCCGGAGGTTTAACCCGTCGTGTGTCTTAAAGTGGATCCACGTGAGACATAATGTATTTACAATGAAACTTGGTTAAGTAGGACCTGGATAAGTGTGAAACCTCCATAACTGGTACTCATGCTGAGGTCCCAACACTTTGACACTGAATTACCTCTGTTAGTGGGATGAGGTAAACCTCTATATCTGGGATTTGTTCTTTCGATTTATTATCACAGTTACCTCTATAACTGAGACAGCGAATAAATTTTATATGCATAAACCTCTGTAACTGAGATAACATTGTTTGTTTACTCATTCTTATTCTACCTACAAATTCCACACGTAATTCCAAGTCCACCTTTATTAATGGAACCCTCTGTAAATGAGACAGATATTTATTTATACCTGTATATCTGAGACACTGGGTAAGTGGAATACCTCTTTAAGTGAAACGACATTGCAGGTCCCTTGATGTCTCACTTAACCAGGTTTCACTGTATTTTCTAATGTGTGTCATATACATTAGGCATTCAACCGGTTAAAACCCGCTTCTCAAGCATGAGAGTTCGAAACCTACCAACGGCAATTACCAATGTGACTTTCCGACTTATATGTGCTTTCTAAGATTATCGAGATACCACCGATAAACGGTGAAGGAAAACATCGTGAAGAAACCTGGACTTATAATTTCTTATTATAAGTTTGTAATGCTCAAATCAAATGCTTCTCTGTAGGAAAAGAGGCTTTGTTCAACTGTGGGCATTTCTATAGGCTGTTGATGTGATGATCTGATTCAACAAACACCGCTCCTTCTAGTTCTCTTTGTTTAATATATGGTCCCTTACTCGACTCGTAGAACTACTATAGTACTTGTAGAGTAGAGAGGTCATGAGAATCGTACTCTACCACCATACGGCAAAGCTCTCTATATTTTAACAAGAATTATTTCTTTTAGGACAGGCAGGCCATGAAATAGACTCAGATGACTGGGTTACTCCTCCAGGTACTTATATATAACTAGCTACTTCCGCGCGGTTTCACACGCTCTGCTCAGCTCTTATTGGTCGTAGCGTGATGTTTTGTAGCCTATAGTCATCCTCGATAAATGCGCTATCCAACACAAAAAGAATTATTCAAATTAGACTTGTGGTTACGGAGATTAGCGCGTTCAAACAAACAAACAAACTCTTCCGCTTTATATACATAATAGTTTAAGATTACATACAGGCTTTCGTTTTGAAAAGTAATTAAAAAAATCAGTTTGTGTGTATATTTGGTACTCGATGACGTCATCACGTCAAAACGACTAAAGGGATCGAGATTAAATTTGAGGCAATAGTAGATTAGGGTGGAACATTACAGGCTACGTTTCATTCCAGGGAAACGCGGGCGAAACGATAGGTAGCGGTTTTAAAGTACCACTTTATGCCCTGTCAGGTTATTCTGTCTATTCGAACTCTCGAAGTCAGCTCGGTCGCATTCTCGCCTGTCACTGGCCGAAATAAGTCTCGAAACCAAGAGAAGCTATCTGTACTGGGCCTTTAGCCAAACGCCACTTTAGCGCTTGTCTACCGAGAGAGCAAATCAAAATGTATGAGGATGACACTGACAAGTGTCAATATTTACGTCAATTCCATATTATTTGGGTTTCTATTCTACATGTAGACAAGCGCTAAGTGGCATTTGGCTACAGCTGCTGGGCCTTTAGCCAAACGCCACTTTAGCGCTTGTCTACCGAGAGAGCAGAAATCAAAATGTATGAGGATGACACTGACAAGTGTCAATATTTACGTCAATAGGGTAGACGACTCATTTTTATTTTAATGTCCGTCTGGTAGATTATTTTAAATCATTACACACGTATTTTTTATTTTCTTACAGAAACGAATACTTTCCACGATATATTGATTTGAAATGTCGTGTGACGTCACTTTTATGTACATTTTATACGTAGAAATGACGTTTTAGCCCCCACTCCTAAACTTTGATTCGTTTTATCTAAGTATTGTTTTATTATATGACAAAATAAAAAAATACGTGTATAATATTTTTTAAATGCATAACTTACGGACTAATTAGATTTTTAATTTTCATACCCTTTCGTCATCCCAATTCCATATAATTTGGTTTTCTATTCTACATGTAGACAAGCTAAATGGCATTTGGCTATAGCTGCTGGGTACCTGCCATAGATATATGTAGCATGATTTTTAATTTGTTTCCAGACGTGAAAAATATAGAACACATTCAACTCGATTTGAAATCGACTAATCAAATACGGAAAACTGAAAAATTGGATCTTCCCGATTTCCCGATGTTATCTCATGAATCTAATTTAGGAGGTACCTATTTATAGTGACAACTACTTTAATTAAGCAATTTGAAGTGTGGCTCGACCGACGAAGGCACGGCCTCACAGAAAACTGGTATAAAACAATGTATGCATTGTCCTTCTACACGTTGTTGCCATTATCGTGAAACACACAAAATTATAACATAACATAACATCCCCGAAGGGGTAGGCAGAGGTGCATATTATGCCACTGTACAATGAGGTAACACCCACTTTTCACTATTTATGTTATAAGTCCCATGTAATAGGGGGTGAGCCTATTGCCATATACCGGGCACAATTCCAGACTCGGTGCTACTACTGAGATTTTTTTTAAAACCCAGTAGTACTTTGCCCGACCCGGGAATCGAACCCGAGACCCTTTGCCAGTCAGTCGCACTTGCGACCGCTCGGCCAACGAGGCAGTCAGACACAAAATTATGAGTAATTCTATTCTTCGTGCAAATGGACATTTTCGTGGAATCCTCTCTGGAACTTGTACTTAATCGAAGGAAGGTAGGGTAATGGGTGTAAGTTTCATTTATCTCCAATTTTTTTCATCGAGTGATATCATAACAGCTTACTTCACGTGGCGCGCCAGTTCATAAATATAAGTGTGGGAGAGCCATGCTTCGGCATGAAGTGCTGGTTCGATCGGAGTGATACCAAAGCCTTATAGAAAAGCATTTTTTTATGGGACAAGCCCACCACATCCTCCCAAAACCGCTGCAAATCCTGTGCACCAAGATCTACAGTAGATACAACCATGAAAACACCGGAACACTGAAGTCCGGCGCGTCCCAGGGACATGAGTAAATGTCTTGGTTCCCGCAACGAAGTGAATCAGAAGTTATTATAAGAGGAGAAGAAAAGCATGGCAAGCAAAGCAACGCTTGCGTTGTTTTTCGTCGTGTGAGTGAGGTCACCGGATGCTCAATTATAATATCCCTTCTTCCCCTATCTCCCCAATCCCTGAAGCCCCAATAATCCTCAAACCCCTAATCGCCAAAAGGCCGGTAACGCACTTGTAACGCCTCTGGTGTTCCGTGTGTCCATGGGCGACGACGATTGCTTTTCATCAGGTGATCCGTCTGCTCGTTTACCGGCTTATACCATAAAAAAAGTAGAAATCCGTTGTGACTCCAAACTAGCTAAGGTTTTCTCAGTAATTTCACGTCAATTATGTACTTTTGTTTTTTTTTCACAGACATGGTAAAAGACGCTAATCTAAAAGAGTACACAGCTGATTGTCCTACAGTCTGTCCGACACGAGATGTCCTGGTTTGTGCTCGATGTCAACACGGCATTTTCAAGACATTCATAAGTGTCTGTCATATGCGAATGTTCGCTTGTCGTCATAAAGATGAAAGTAAGTCTAACACCCGACACTGGAAACCTACTCCAGATAAAGAAATCAATTAAGTAATAAAGAAATCAATTAAGTAAAAAAATCATAATTAAAAAACTTGATAGACTTATTACTCGCCCCTACAATTTTCGAAAGATTCCCTAGGTGTCTCGGACACATGGAATACAGAATTCTGTATTCGACATCGCCGCGACCGCGCACGCTGCTCATGAGGAAGAACCCCTCTGTGGTTCGAAACTAGGAGAGCTTTTCTCAGTATATTCACGTGAGTAACCCGCGATTTTTAGTAAATTGATTTTTTTGTTTCAGTTTTACAATTGGTATCGCGTTCTCCCTGTATACTGTCAGCTCCATACTTATCTGAAGATGGAATGATACCTCGTGGCAGAGTGGCCGAAGCAGGTGATGACGACATTATCCTGAGATATATTATCTGCAGAGATAATGAGAACATGGGTACAGATGGGAAATCAGGTAACTTTTTAAATGATTTTCAATGTTACAGGTTAAAATCGAAAGTCTAGGTAAAATTCTGTATTGTTACAGTTACAGTGACTGCCAGGCCTGTCACTACAGTAAAGTTGATATCTTAGAGCTACAGTTTCCCGGGACGCCTCTACCAACAAAATGTATCATTAAGCTGGTTGCGCAACCAAACCGACAACAGCGGCGTAACTCCCTTTTTTTTCCGGGAAAAGCCGGTAAACGAGCAAACGGATCACCTGATGGTAAGCAATCGGCGTCGCCCATGGACACCTGGCACACAAGAGGCGTTAAAAGAGCGTTACCGGCTTTTTGGAGGCTAGGTATGTTTTTTATTATAAAAGCGTTGTCCCACACTAAGCTATTCTCCAGTGTCGTGGGTGCTTTTACAAACATACAAGTTCACATACACACGACACACAGACCCGGAACAACAATCTGTGGATCTTATAAATAGTTATTCCGTGCGGGAATCAAACCCCACACCTTGCGCGGCAGCCAGTCACTTTGAGGATTCTAGGATTAGAGAAGGAGGGGGGGGGGGTAATAGGGTAAAAGATTTGTTTTACGTCGGTTTTCTGTGAGGCCCCTGGTCTCCTGGTATAATATAGCCAAAAAGATCAAAATTCCAACTTCAACCCACATGTTAAGCGTTAAAAGATTATGGCCAACGATTTCAATATAAAGGAAGCATTATACAAAAAAAGAAAATCATTACAATAACGTTGGAAAAAAGGCGGACACATTCTCTTGACTCAACGACTGTAGCACCTGGCAGCTGTAGTCAAATGCCATTTAGCGCTTGTCTACTTCAATACATAGTATAAAACAAAGTCGCTTTCGCTGTATGTCCGTATGTATGCTTAGATCTTTAAAACTACGCAACGGATTTTGATGCGGTTTTTTTTAATAGATAGAGTGATTCTTAAGGAAGGTTTGTATGTATAATACATGCATATTGCACCCGTGCGAAGCCGGGGCGGGTCACTAGTGTAGAATAAAAAACCAAATTATATGGAATTGACGTAAATTTTGACATATAATTTGTCAGTGTCACCCCCATACATTTTGATTTCTACTCTCTCTGTAGACAAGCGCTAAAGTGGCGTTTGGCTAAAGGCACTGGCTATGCCTATAGACTTTTCCTAGACCTATAGAGTCTCCACAATGGTGTTGTCGACTATACTGCCAGTGTCGAGTGGGGACGGCAAAATTAATGAACCGTCGAACTTAACTTTGCGGTAGTTTTTAGTAGTTAGTAGCTGAAAGGACAAAACAATTGGGTTAGTAAACATAAATATTATCAAATATTTTATTGTATAATATATACAGTGGTGTAAAAAATAGTTGGGGGACATACACAATATAGACAGATATTAATATACATCATTGGACACCGTCACATTTTGATCTCATTTCCATTCATAAATTTACATATACAAATAATTACTTTGTGGGAAAAGTGAGTTAAAAGGAGGTGGAAACTGGTTGGGAGTGGGATTTGGATACTGGGAAGTTTTTTGTAGAGGTCAAAGGATTGGGAATTTAAAGGACACGAAAAAAATATGTGTTCTAAGGTTCCCTCATCAAGGCCGCATTCGCACAGCGAGCTGTCGCGGACACGGATCTTGTTGAGGAAGACCGGACTACTACAATGGCCGAGTTTGAGCCACCTATTGACTTACACGCCGAATACACACACATTGACACGAAGGACATCTGTCGCGTGACATGGCCTCTCATTACACTTCGTACATTACGGTGTTGCACGCACACATACATAAACATTGCCGTCTTTGACTAGTTTGGGTTGGACACGCAATAATCCAAGCCCTTTTCGAATGTTTCTTTTTTTACGTTGGATTTTCTCATGTATCGTTGGTGCGTTTACAAACATACAAGTTCACATACACATGACACCCAGACACAACAATTTGTGGATCATACAAATATTTGCTCCGTGCGGGATCGAATCCACTACACGTTGCAGGGCAGCCGGTTGCCGTACATCGTGTAGCGGGTGTGTTTCCGTCTTAGACAATGTTGCTCCTTTGACGACCCTGAGGGGCCCCTGGACACGGGCCCCGAGTGCCCTTACAATAAAGACGATACTGCACATAAATAGACCACTGACATTTCGGTTGCTTCAATCATTTCTAAATGACATTACGTCCACCATGTTTCCAACGTCCTTGGGTGATGAATGACGATTTTACACTTGAAAAAATAATTGTACTCGACTTACATTTAGCAATTTAAGACCACACGCTAGATATAGAAATCAATTAGTTCAAACTGGTCATTAAACTCCTAATTAAGTGTCGATGTACTACGCTACTGGGTAACTCGTATCAAAGAATTAGTTATGCTTTAATTAATTAACACCAAAGACTATTATTTATTTATTTTTTTGTTTTATAGCATAAGCCGGTAAACGAGCAGACGGATCACCTGATGGTAAGCAGTCGGCGTCGTCCATGGACACCTGGAACACCAGAGGCGTTACAAGTGCGTTACCGGCTTTTGGGGATTGAGGAATTGGGGAGATTGGGGAAGGGGAGAGTAATTAGGCCTATGGTAATCTCACTCACACGACGAAACACAACGCAAGCGTTGCTTCACGTTGGTTTTCTGCTCGGCCGTGGTATCACTCCGGTCGAGCCGGCCCATCCGTGCACAACCATGGCTCTCCCACACGTTTTATATTTGATGGACTGATGACCACTATCTCGCCTGGTGGTGCACGATGACGCGGTCTACGATGGAGCACGTCGTCTCATAAGCAAGCTTCGCGCAATCGAGTTGTACAATGCCCCCGCAAACTCACCAATATATATGTAGTAAAAACCGTATAGTTAATGAATATATTTTGTTTGTTGCAGGGGACCCAAGATGCTCGTTCCCATTGGTTATCACAACTAGTAAATATTTTTACGATTTCAGAAATGTTCCACATCCCTTAGATCCACATTTGGTAACCACTAAATCAGATCTAAAAGAAGCTGTGAAGACCAAAACTGATTAATTTTTGTCTAAAATCTTAATCAATGTTTATTTATTTATAAAATAGGAATAGAACGGTACAAAAAACCAATTAAACTATTCAATAAATATAAAATTGAAAGAAATGTATTCATATTTAAACACTCAATCATTATTCGATACTGTGGTTCATTCATCTCTTTCGCAAAACTTGAAGCATTCCGATAAAAATATCGTCTTTCAGTCGAAAACACATCACATCTCTGTCCTTGAATCCAGGAATCGGTTTATATTTTAAATGTTAATCACATATTTGTTCCATACATGTCAAATATCTAAATGGTCGAGAGAGCAGTTGGTATAAAAAAAGAAAATTGCTGTATTCAGTGAATTCGTTGCATCATTTTTATTTTTTGAATCTTTCATCCTTAATATATCTCGACTAAATGTATTAAATACGGCCCTGGCTTGATCGACTGGACTTTAAAATTTTAAAAAACATTTGTAAATTTTTATACGTAGATACACTAGCTATGTTTAGTTTCGGTAGGTTCCTGTTTCTGATTGACGAGAGGAAACGCCCGGGTGCCATCACTGCGAGGGCCGTCCGGAGGACACGGTGGAGCATACGGTGGCGGTGTGCCCTGCGTGGGCTGGGCACCGCCGTGTCCTCAGGGATGTGATCGGCGACGGCGAACTCTCGTGTCCGGCTCCGGTTCAGACCATGGCGATGGCAGTCATGCTGGCTAAGGAGGAGGCGGTGCGCATAAGGGACCGAACCTCCTCACGCCCCAGTCGTCGCGAGCGATACTCTGGGCGTCGGGGATCACGAGATGATCTCCGGCCACCGTAAGAACGGGCCTGCAGGCGTCGAACACGGGTGTCTCGCCTCACCGGGGCAGGAGAAGTCATTGGATGAATTTCCCCCTTCCAAAAAAAATACCTATTATGTTTCATTCCAGACTCTATAGATCTACCAATGTATAGTATTTACTTTGTCAAAGAGTGCCCACAAACTTCGTATCGTCCAATTTTTCTTTTAAACCTTCGCTGGACATTTCAAGGCCAAAATGAGTCAAATCGGTTCTCGAGTGTTAGCGAAAGTAACGAACGGAAATTCATTTTTATTTATGTAGATAGTTAACTAAAGATTTAAAACATAACATAACATCACGCCTTTTATCCCCGAAGGGGTAGGCACATTATGCCACTGTACAATGTAAAACCTATTTTTCACTATGTATGTCATGATTCCCATGTAATAGGGGGTGAGCCTATTGCCATATACCGGGCACAACTCCAGACTGCGTGCTACTGCACAACCCAAACAACAAAACTATGTAACTAGAGAATTGTATAGTGTACTTGATTGAAAAAGTAACTAATGGAGTTTCTTGCTCGTTCTTCTCCATAGGAATCTACACTTTGGAATGAGTAAATAGTTAGCTTCACTTTTAATTTTTTTTTGTTGACGTTCAAAAGTGCCTCTCTGGTCCAATTGAAATAAATAATTTTGACTTTGACTTTGACTGCTGATTTTTTTTTAAAAAACCCAGTAATACTTTGCCCGACCCCGAAATCGAACCCGAGATCCCTTGCCCGGCAGTCGCACTTGCGATCACTCGGCCAACGAGGCAGTCAAATAATGTCTGTTCATAAAATAATTTATTATTTAGATCCAATCTTCTCTATAGGTCAAATTAAAGTTATATGGTAAGGTCAAAGTTAAACATCAAAGCAGAAATTAATTAAAGCAAAGCTCAAAGTTCGTCATATTGTTTTGAATTATGGTTCTAAATACTTTATGCATTACGTATCGATTCTGTTAATAAATATTGTAATCTCAATGGCTCGTTTCATTTTCATATCCGTCATCTATCATAAGTCTACTGCTAGTCCTAAGACCAGGATGCTTACTCCTGAATTCAATCTCAATGTCAATGCAATTTCAATCCAATAAAATCTCAATAATTATTCAATGTCAACACTATACAACCACAATCGTAGCTGTTACAATAGCATTCAGAATACGGAATATAAAGACAAACTCAATTAGTTCATTCAATATCCACGCAATACGGGTGCAATGGGCGCTAGTGTTGCAACTCAAGAGTACGAAATTTCACAATACCAATGTCAATCGATCGGAATTGGATTCAAGAGTAAGCCCCCTGGAGCGGCAGAGGACTTAACAGGTTGCCGGAGCTCGGCCGATCTCTCAGTCTCAATGAAAGGAACAGTAAGTCTGTACTCAATAATCTATGAAAACAGCACAAATAATGTGCGTGACTAAATAAAATATCAATTGCGTACAATGTTGTCAGAACTGTACCAACTTGTGTACCGTTAGGTTGCTGACTCGGTCTAATTAAAATGAAACTTGGTAAGTTCATTTTATTATCATCAGTTAATCTTTATACATCATCATCATCAT